TTTTTTTTTTTTTTTTTTAAGATCAACACTACGAAAAACAAAAATAAATAAATAAAAATTAAAACTAAATAAATCATCTCACCTGTAAACTCAGTGTTCTGTTTGAGGTCCTCGAGCACCTCGGGTTTGAGTTTGCTGTTCTGTTTGCCCATGTCTAGGATTTAGCGTGTCGCCACTTTGTCCTCGAGACTGACTCTCCTCCCAGTCAGATGGGGACTCGGGTTGCGTCCTCCCCAGTGGCCGGGGGAGTTCGCCACCGACGCCGTCGCGTCTCCTCGCTGACGTCTGTCTGTGATTAAAATTAAAAAAAACGTCGCATGATTACTCAATGTATCTTCATTACGTAGATTCCAATCAATTTGAAGGTCAACGACAAATTAAAAACAAAAATTCCTCAAATATTTTCTACCGCCAGTAGATGTTTCTACTGACCTTCGTTTTGATTTTCGATGTTTTGTTGACATCGTTACAACAAAGTTAAAATAAAGACAAAAACAAAAAGGAAAAAGTGACTTTCTCCAAACATACTTTCATTCATATCACAAACACACATCTTCGTTGCATACGAGACACCTGAAACAGAATAAAAAAAAAAAGAAAATCTTTGAAAGAAAGTCAAGGACATGTTCAGAGCATAGTGCAATTTATTTATAATAGTAATAATCATCATCGTCGTTATTCTTATGTAATAATCACAATGGTAAATTTCATGTAATAATAATAATAATAATAATAATAATAATCATAAGACAACAGAACACAGCGTGCGAGGAATTCACGATAGGTACATCACAAAACGATCGACAGTACTATCGACTTTTCAAAAAGAGGACGTTTTATTTTCAATAACCGAGAGGAAGTAAAAAAAAAAAAAAAAAAAAAAAAAAGTTTTACTCTTCCCTAATACGCCGTAACGAAAGAAATTTTCCACACTAAAAATAACGAGCGCTCGCGAGGGCCCTCGCACCAGAGGGTGCTCCGGGAAAAAAGCTTCCGGTTAATTAAAAGCTCGGCCCGTTAATAATGATCCGCCGAGCAAAGGCACTGGGACGCAGCAACCGCCATATGCCTTGCGCCTCTGGAGTCTAGCCTACTTTTTCGGCCACTATACGTGCGCTCCACTCACGCGTGCGCGAGTCTAATAAACCTACTCAAGAGAGCTGGAAAGAAAGAAAAACAAGAGGGTCTTTTCAACCCCGTTTCTCGGTAAGTTCTCGGGCTTACGTCCGTTTCTGCGAGGCACCTTTTGAAAAACACCGACACGGCTAGCCATTCGAGAGATAAATTTTTCCCTGTAAGGACGTTTATGAGTATTTCAATGAGTAGCTTCTTCTACATGACATTTTTTTCATTTCTGCGATCCAAGAGGAAGGCACGGATGTGTCAATGATTTAACTGAGAATGTTAACACTGGTAAGTATCAGTTATAGTTTTTTTTTTTTTTTTTTTTTTTTCAGGATTTTAAGATGATCCTGTTTGTCGGTAGAGGATTTTTTTAATGCATAATCATAATATGTGCTATGTCTCGAAACATAAAAATCGTATGATCGGTAATAAAAATTTGTAGGCCGGCTAGACCAAAAGACACGCGCTACTTCCCTCACGGATAAGAAGTTCTGATGAATAAGTAACTTAACTATTCACGAATCGAGAAACCCACGTAACACTATAAGTTACTAACTCGGATTTTTTCTTGTCAATACTTGGGCCCTCGATTATCGTGCATTGTTATTTCTAATGTAAGTTACAGAAAAGCAGGGAATACTCAATACATTATTTTGTAAAAGTTTAAATTATTTGTTAAGTTAAAAAAATTTTTATCATTTTTTTTTTTTTTTTTTATTATGGCACTCGTCCTTCCATATGTCGTAAACAGAAATTTACTTTGATGCGATGGAAATCAAGAGTCAAGGATAAATAATTTTAAAAACTACGTTACGTATCATGCATTATGGAATAGTTGTGCAGAAATAAAGTTAATCTAACCATCGAAACACATGGTAAATTTATAGTTTGTAGTAAAGCTTTTTATAAAAAGCATAGTAGTTGAAATAAACAAAAATTTACGACTTTTTGTTATAATAATTAATAACTTGTTAATGTCAAAAACTTACAGAACTATAAGTGTCAATAATTATATTACGCAAAAAAGAAGAAATATTGAATAATGTGCTGATTATAATTATGAGAGAAACTATTCTAATAATACATAGTAGAACAAAAATTTATGAATGTCTGTATACTACTGATAGCAGTGTAAGTTTGAAATAGAGAAAAAAAGTATGTAGATGCCCAATGTACAAAAAGAATGAAAGAAAAAATGTAACATCGGATATTAAAGGTAGACTTTTGTGACATTTTTTACTTAACAAGTTCTAATTTAAACAAATAATAAGTGTAGAAAAATTCAAATTTCCCCAGTGTCTAGTTTTGATCCATGTATGTGTTGAATTATCATATTGTGGAGCACCATGCTTACGGAAAACGCACATTACCTTTGTTCACGCCACATCACCAATCAATTTTTTCAACGATGAAAAAAGACATTAAAATAATCACGTGATTGTCAGTAGAATTTCAACTATAATAGCTTTTTTAGAATTTCAGTTTTTTGTTGTCTTTTTAATTTTTTTTTTTTTTTACTAAATAATTATTTGTACCAAGTATAGCTAAAGTGGACATCTTACCTTTGACGCGTCACCATATGGGAAAAAATTCCCGTATATTTTCTTGAATTCTTCGACACTCAGATGCCCACTCGGACAGTCCTTTAAAAATCCTTTGTACCATTCTTGAATTTCTGCATCTAAACAGAAAAGTAAAAAAACAACTTAATATTCTATAATGCTATTAAGGCACTTATTATCTTCATTATTTGTATTAAGAGCATCAAGTTATTTGTCACGAAAAATAAAACGAATAATTTGGATTGAATAAACTCAAAACATATTCAGCTCAAACCATTAGTTTTTCGAGTAATGTTACGAATATGGTATTATCATGTGCTAAATTAATGTCACAAATTTTAGATTTAAAATATTTATGCAAAACAGCAGTGTGGGTTTGTGTATTTTGCCAAAAAATTTTAATACACCCTTAAATTTTTCCACTTCTGTATTAGAGGTATTAGTTCTATTTTCAAGATTTAATGACTGTACATAAGTTATCAAATATCAAAGAATGAGAGAATAAACAACATTATAAGGAAAATATTCATTTAATTCGAGTTGGTATTTATTTATAATGACTAATAAGTTATGGAATATATTTTATATATTCTATTTTAAACAGTTAGCGATTATCTGAGAAGTTTTGGGTAGCTTAAAATGTCAATCCATTTATTAGTTCATTTTTTTGAATTATAAAGTTTTATTTTACTTTATTTCAGAAGTTGCCAACAAGTTGTGACGTCAATTCGTCCATAATATTCGTCAATTAAAAGTAAGCGATTGTAACAAGTTGACTCGAATGAATGGCACTTGAAATAACTACTCACTAAAAGTCAGTACTTATACTAATGTATTTTTACATTGTAATTTTTGTTTTTAAATCAGATATGAAATTGCGTAATATTTATTAAATATTAATTTATTTAAAATTTGCATTAAACAGTAATAATCCATACCGATCAATACCATCAATGATGTCTAGATAAAAACTAACAGATTTGAGAACGAGCCCGTGATAAAATTTTTAGCAAATCGAGAAAAGATGAGCATTTATTTTTGAAATAATTATTGATTGTTTGAAGATTATTTTTATCGCGATAAAACAATATCCCGCCTATAATCAACACAACTCGGTCTCTTTTAAAAACAATAACACAATTGTTTTTTTTTTTTTTTTTAAGATCAACACTACGAAAAACAAAAATAAATAAATAAAAATTAAAACTAAATAAATCATCTCACCTGTAAACTCAGTGTTCTGTTTGAGGTCCTCGAGCACCTCGGGTTTGAGTTTGCTGTTCTGTTTGCCCATGTCTAGGATTTAGCGTGTCGCCACTTTGTCCTCGAGACTGACTCTCCTCCCAGTCAGATGGGGACTCGGGTTGCGTCCTCCCCAGTGGCCGGGGGAGTTCGCCACCGACGCCGTCGCGTCTCCTCGCTGACGTCTGTCTGTGATTAAAATTAAAAAAAACGTCGCATGATTACTCAATGTATCTTCATTACGTAGATTCCAATCAATTTGAAGGTCAACGACAAATTAAAAACAAAAATTCCTCAAATATTTTCTACCGCCAGTAGATGTTTCTACTGACCTTCGTTTTGATTTTCGATGTTTTGTTGACATCGTTACAACAAAGTTAAAATAAAGACAAAAACAAAAAGGAAAAAGTGACTTTCTCCAAACATACTTTCATTCATATCACAAACACACATCTTCGTTGCATACGAGACACCTGAAACAGAATAAAAAAAAAAAGAAAATCTTTGAAAGAAAGTCAAGGACATGTTCAGAGCATAGTGCAATTTATTTATAATAGTAATAATCATCATCGTCGTTATTCTTATGTAATAATCACAATGGTAAATTTCATGTAATAATAATAATAA